TAATTTTATGACCACTAATAGCTTAGGGAGCTCTTTCCAGCAAGCGGATAATGATAAGGGTAATCAAATCTCTTGTTTCAGGATGTAAGTTACCAATGCGGGGCTGTTCAGTTCCATGCCTTACCTTTGTCCTCTGGATACTTCTCATAAACACCCACCTTCAGGGAAGTACAATGATGGACACAAATGTTGCTATTCAGCACTTTTATGCCGACATTTATAGATGCCTGTGTGTTCTTTCACCTTCATCTGAAGTATCAGCCTCTGAAACATAGGAGCTAGTATAACTCTGGTTTGGGAAATAATGTCCTCCATAATGATAATCAAGATAATCATTTATGCTTTTAGTGAGTGCCCTAGAATATCATTCTCACAATTTCTGAATTTATCAAACCAAAATAATTAGAAGGCAATAATTACATTTCAGGGGAAGGGGGCTCAATAGTGTTAATTTTGTATACCATTATATAAAGTGGTATCAGTAAAGTTATGATTTTTTAACACTTCATTCTAAATGCATCAAAAATTTTAAAACAACATTCATTGAGTGTTAAACTGTGTTTCACATTTTACTATTAATTGGATTACACTACCCCATAAGTCTAATCATTGTGGCAGATTAACCCTTTTTATTTTTAATCAAGGTCAAAATTCAAATTTTATTATTTGAATCACTATTTTTCCAAAATAGAAAACTTTACAAAAACACAAAACACAAAACCACTTGTGATCTTAAAATACAGGACAACTATTACTGTATGAGTATATATCTGCCCATATACAATCATTTATATATTTTTTGTTTGGATGTATAAAGTTGGGAGTATGCTATGTATACTATTCTATAACATTCTTTTAATTACAGTTCATGAATAATTTTCTATGTAATTAAATATTTTTGAAGCCTATTATCATATTAATATACTCTATTTTACCAATTTGTTTTTGGACAATTTGGTTGTCTGTAAGTTTTTACTACCATAAATCTAAAGATGTGTGATTATTTATTATTGCTGGTTCAAAGTAAATGCACCTTATTTTTAAGTATTTTGATTGATACTGCCAAATCATTTTTCAGAAAAAAATTTCATTATTTTACACACTGATTATCAGTTTATGACAGTATAATTTCCCTCACATAAACAATGGAAAAAATATACATACATACATATATGTGTATGTGTGTGTGTGTGTGTGTGTGTGTATATATGTGTATGTAACCTTTAATATTATGACCATATAAAAAGAGGAATCTCATTAGTAATTAAATTTTCACACCTTTGATCATTTGCAGTGTTAATACTTTTTTGTAAGTTTATTAATCATTGTATTTCTTTTTTGGTGAATTGCCAGTTCATCTTATTTTGCTACTTTAAAAATGTGGATGTTTAACATTTTTCTTATATATAGACATTCTGTTTTTATTAAGGATACTAAAACTATCAGTATATATTTCTCATTTTTTTGTTTACTCTCGATTTTACTTATGACATATTATACAAGAATTTTATATTCTTGTACAGCCATAGGTATGAATTTGTTAACCAGTTTGCAATTTCTTCATATGAAGATATATCTATTCTATTAATATTTATCTCTACTTTCTTCTGATATTAGGTAAAATAGAGTAAGTTGATCCTGCTTTTTTTCTTCAATACATATTTCCATATAAGCATATTTTCCTTCCCTTGCTTGTTTAAATAATATTTTATTGTGTATCATATTAATACCAATAATTAAACTGACCTCTGAAATTTCTGTTGATTTCTTATTTATTCCTGAATTTACTGTAAAATATTTAATTTTATGTTGTATTTAAATGTTTGAGAAAAAAATCAATTTTTATTTTTCTCAGAATGTTCAATTAATTTGTTTCTTAGTAAAACCTGGTCCTTTTATTTATTTTTAGAATGAATTAAGAAACAAATTATTTTAAATTATTCTCATAATACTTCATCTTGTTAATTTTTGGCTACATACACTAAGGTAGCTGTTTTATATAATTTAATAAATTTCATAGGTATATCTAATTATTTCTCCACATTTTTGATGTTTATTAGTGGATGTCTTGTGTTTTTGTATTACTACAAATAAAATGCATTTCTCCTGTATTTTCTCATTGAATAGTAGGGGTATATAGAGAAATTCTTGATTTTAGTTTATTTTAAAATAACTTCTTTTCATTAGTGATTGAAATCTAAATAATTTTAAATGTGTTTTATGAATATTATAGGTAGGCTATACTATCATCTGAATACATATATCCATATTTATGATACATATGATGATGCTATAAGCATACATATTTGAATATATTTAGATGATTGTATATATACACACATATGTGTATATTTACACACACACACACACGCTTTTTTTTTTTTTTAACAGTTTTACCTTCATACCAAAGTTAATAGAGCAGAAAGCACAGGATTCCTCTATGCCCTCTAACCCTGCTATCAACATCCTGTTCTAGAATGGTACGCTTGTTAACAAGTGATGAATTTACCCTGATACATCATTATCACTCAAAGTCCACAGTTTACATTAAGGGGTTCATTCTTGGTGTTTTACAGTCTATGGGTGTTGACAAATGTATAATGACATTTACTACCACTGTAATATTATTCAGAGTAGTTTCATTACACTAAAAATCATCTATGTTCTGCCTATTCATACTTCCCTCCCCTACAACCCCTGGCAACTACTGATGTATTTTCTATCTTCACAGATTTGTCTTTCTCAGGTGTAGTTGGAATCATGTATTATTTAGCCTTTTCAATTTGACTTCTTTCACTTGGTAATGAGTGAAAGTTTCCTCCATATCTTCTCAAGCCTTAAGAGCTCATTTCTTTTCACTGCTAAATAAAATTCCATCATGAGGATGTTCCACAGTTTATGTATCTATTGACCTATTAAAGGAAATGTTGCTTGCTTTCAAGTTTTGGCAATTATAAATAAAAGTGCTATAAGCCTGCAAGTTTTTGTGTGGACAAAAGTTTTCAGCTCATTTGAATAAATACTAAGACACACAGTGGCTGGATCACTGGTAACAATTTATTTTTGGCAGTACCTGAAAACTGTCCTCCAAAGTGGCTGTACCATTTTGGTTTCTCACCAGCAATGAATGAGACTTCCTGTTGCTGTACATCTTAATTAGCATTTGGTTTTGTCAGTGTTTGAATTTTGACCACTGTAATGGTATGTAGTAGCATCTCATTGTTACTTTATACTACCCCAGTGACCTATGATATTGAGCATCTTTTCATATATTTATTTGCTATCTGTATATTTTCTTTAGTAAGGTGTCAGTAAGGTGTCTGTTTGGATCCTTTTTTTCCATTTTTAAAGCAGGTAGTTTGTTTCATACTGTTAAGTGTTAAGAGTTCTTTGTGTATTTTAAATGAGAATCCTTTATAAGATAAAATTTTTGCAAATATTTCTTTCCAGTCTGTGGCTTGTCTTCTTGTTCTCTTAACAATGGCTTTAGCAGAGCAGAAGGCTTTAATTTCAACAAAGTTCAGCTTTTTCATTACTACTTTCATGGATAGTGCCTTTAGGGTTGTATCTAAAAAGTCATTACCATATTCAATATCATCTTGATATTCTATGTTATCTTCAACAAGTTTTATAGTTCTACATTTTACACCTGTGTTTTATAATTCATTTTCAGTTAATTTTTGTGAAAGGTGTTAGGTCTCTGTCTATAGTCACTTTTTTCAATGAGAAGGTCCTGTTTCCAATATTATTTTTTAAAAGACTCTTTTCACTACTATGTTACCGATGCTCTTTTGCCAAAGATCAGTTAACTATATCTGTGTGGGTTTATTTTGGGGGCTATCTCTTCTGTTCCATATTTAATCTATTTGCCTATTTTTAAGCAATATTACACTGCCTTTAACACAGTGGGTATATAGTAAGTCTTGAGGTTGAGTAGTGTCAATCCTTCAACTTTGCTTTTTTGCTTCATTACTGCATTGGTTATTCTGACTCTTTTACCTCTATCTATAAACATTAGAATTGATTTGTTGATATTCAAAAAATAACTTGCTGACATTTTGATGGCAGTGATGTTGAATCTATAGGTCAAGTGAAGATGTGATATTGTGACAATATTGAGACTTCCTGTCTGATTTCTTTCATCACAGTTTGTAGTTTTTCTCATATAGATTCTATTCATATTTCTTTTGGCTTAACCCCTAAGTATTTAATTTCTGGGGGTGTTAATATAAATTGTATTGTGTTTTAAACTTAAGATTCCAATTACTCATCACTGGTATGTAACAAAGAGATTGCATTTTGTATATTATCCTCATATCCTGCAACCTTCATGTAATTCTTTCTTATTTCCAAGAGTGCGTGTCTATTATTCTGAATATGCTATATAGCCAATTATGTCAACTGTGAATAAAGGCAGTTTTACTTTCTTTTCCCAATTTGTATACCTTGTCTCTTCTTTTTTTAAATTTTTAAAAAATTTTTAATTTTCATAGCTATTTATTAGGTGTACATATTTATGGCATACATGAATTGTTTCATTACAGGCATGTAATGTGAAATAAGCACATCAGGAAGAATGGGTTATCCATCCCCTCAAACATTTATCCATTGAGTTGCAAAAATCCAATCACACTTCTTATTTTAAAATGTACAGTTATTTTGATAAGTGTCTATTCATATCCTTTGCCTACTTTTTGATAGGGTTTTCTTTTTCTTGTAAATTTGTTTAAGTTCCTTGTAGATTCTTGATATTAGCCCTTTGTCAGATGGATAGATTGCAAAAAATTTCTCTCATTCTGTAGGTTGCCTGTTGGCTCTGATACTAGTTTATTTTGCTGTGTACCAACACTGTGGTTTAATTAGATCCCATTTGTCAATTTTGCTTTTGTTGCCAATGCTTTTGGTGTTTTAGTCATGAAGTCCTTGCCCATGCCTATGTCCTGAATGGTATTGCCTAGGCATTGTTCTAGGGTTTTATGGTTTTAGGTCTTATGTTTAAGTCTTTAATCCATCTGGAGTTAATTTTTATAGAAGGTGTAAGTAAGGGGTCCAGTTTCAGTTTTCTGCATATGGCTAGTCAATTCTCTCAATACTGTCTATTACATAGGGAATACTTTCCCCACTGCTTGTTTTTGTCAGGTATGTCAAAGATCAGATGGTTGTTGATGTGTGTTGTTATTTCTGAGGCCTCTGTTCTGTTCCATTGGTCTGTATATCTGTTTTGGTACCAGTACCATGCTGTTTAGGTTACTGTAACCTTGTAGTGTAGTTTGAAGTCAGGTAGTATGATGCCACCAGCTTTGTTCTTTTTGTTTAGGATTGCCTTGGCTCTATGGATTCTTTTTTGGTTTTATATAAATTTAAAGTAGTTCATTCTACTTCTGTGGAGAAAGTGAATGGTGGCTTGTTGGGGATAGCATTGAATCTATAAATTACTGTGGGCAGTGTGGTCATTTTCACGATATTCATTCTTCCTATCCATTAGAGCAGGAAATGATTTTCCATTGTTTATTTCCTCTTTTATTTCCTTGAGCAGTTGTTTATAATTATCTTTGAAGAGGTCCTTGACATCCCTTGTAAGTTGTATTCCTAGGTACGTTATTCTTTTTGAGCAATTGTGAATGGGAGTTCACTCATAATTTGGCTCTCTATTATTGATACATATGAATGCTTGTGATTTTTGCACATTGATTTTGTATCCTGACACTTTGCTGAAGTTGCTTATCAGTTTAAGGAGTTTTTGGGCTGAGACACTGGGGTTTTCTAAATACACAATGATGTCATCTGCAAACAGAGATAATTTGACTTCCTCTCTTCCCATTGAAATACTCTTTCTTTTTCTCTTGCCTGATTTCCATGGCCAGAACTTCTAGCACTATGTTGAATAGGAGTGGTGAGAGAATGCATCCTTGTCTGATGAACAGTTTTCAAAGGGAATGCTTCCAGCTTTTGCCCATTCAGTATGATGCTGCTTTCTATATGTGGTAGGCATGCTTCATTGTTTTTTATCCTTTTTTCTTTTGTCTCCTCTGACTGTGTATTTTCAAATAGCCTGTCTTCCAGCTCAATGATTCTTTCTTCTGCTTGATCTATTCTGCTGTAAATGACTTTGATACATTCTTCAGTATTCTAATTGCATTTTTTTAGCTCTGGAATTTCTACTTTATTCTTTTGAATTATATTAATTTCTTTTTTAGATTTGTCTGAGAGAATTATAAATACCTGTATTAATTTTTATCTCCTTTAGTTTCCTCAACACAGCTATTTTGAATTCTCTGCCTGAAAGGTTATATATCTGTTTCTCCAAGAGTTGTCCCTGGTGACTTATTTAGTTCATTTGGTAAGTTCATGTTTTCCTGGATGTTGTTGATACTAATAGATGTAGTTAAGTGTCTGAAATTTAAGAGTCAGGTATTTATTGTGATCTTTATCTGTGATCTTTTTGGGCTTATTTATAGCAGTTTTTTCTTTGAAAGGCTTTCCAGATATTTGAAAGCACTTGGATGTATTAATCTAAGCTGAATCTGCTTCCAGAGGCACCTCAAGCCCAGTAATGCTGTGGTTCTTGCAGACTCATAGTGTTATCTCTTGTTGGTCTTGTACAAAATCGAACAGAATTCTCTGGATCAGCAGGCAGTGACTCTTGTTCTCATCTCTTATTTTCTCCCAAAAATAAAGAATTTTTATTCTAACCTTAGTAGGAAATCTTCTGGTTTCTTCCCATTACATATGATGTTAGAGAATAAAATACCTTGGAATATAACTTACAAGGGATGTGAAGGACTGCTTCAAGAGAACTAAAAACCACTGCTCAAGGAAGTAAGATAGGACACAAACAAATGGAAAAACATTCCATGCTCATGGATAGGATGAATCAATATTGTGAAAATTGCCATGCTGCCCAAAATAATATACAGATTCAATGCTATTCCCATCAAGCTACTTTTGACTTTCTGCACAGAATTAGAAAAAAACTACTTTAAATTTCATATGGATTCATTGTTATCCCCATCAACCTACTATTGACTTTCTTCACAGAATTAGAAAAAAACTACTTTAAATTTCACATGGAACCAAACAAGAGCCTTTATAGCTAAGCCAATACTAAGCAAAAATAACAAAGCTGAAGGCATCGCACTACTTAACTTCAAACTATACAAGGTTACAGTTACCAAATCATCATGGTACTGGTACCAAAACAGATATATAGACCAATGACACAGAACAGGGGCCTCAGAAATAACACCACTCATCTACAACCATCTGATATTTGACAAACCTGACAAAAATAAACAATGGGGAAGGATTTCCTATTTAATAAATGGTGTTGGGAAAACTGGCTAGCCGTATGCAGAAAAGTGAAACTGGCTGTCTTCCTCATTCAAGTCACTCCTTCTGCAGGAGCTGCTGAGGACCAGGAACCAAAAAGGGCCTGTCTAGGCAAAGCAATCCTAAGCAAAAAGAACAAATCTAGAGGCTACACTAGAGTACAAATCACACTACTTGACTTTGAACTATACTACAAAGGAGTTGAGCAGTGAGAACACATGGACATAGGGAGGGGAACATCACACTAGGAGCTAGGGGAGGGATAGAATTAGGAGAAATACCTAATGTAGATGATGAGTTGATGGGTGCAGTAAACTACCGTGGCATGTGTATACCTATGTAACAAACCTGCACATTCTGCACATGTATCCCAGAACTTAAAGTATAATAATGATTTTTAAATACTCTCCCAACATATATTAAACTATCTCTATTTTCAGATAGTATGATTTGATTAAGATAAAACCCTATAGTTTCTTCCCCAAAGCTCCTAGATTTGCAAAAGCTTTTAGCAGTGTTTCAAGATGTAAAATTTTTGTATGAAAATCAGTAGCATTTTTATGCACCAACAACATCCAAGCTTATGGCTAACTCAAGAATGCTGTCCCACTCACAATAACTGTAAAGAAAAAAAAAAAAAAACCACCACCTAGAAATATAGCTAACCAGGGATATGACATATCCTTACAATGAAAATTATATAAAAAAAAACTGCTGAAAGACATCAGGAATGACATAAACAAACATAAAATCATTTAATACTCATAGATAGAAAGAATAAATATTGTTAAAATGGCCATAATGCTCAAAGCAATTGACAGATACAATGCTGTTCTATTAAAGTATCAATCTCATTTTTAATTAGAAAAACCTATTCTAAAATTCATATGGAGAAAAAAAAAAGTCTAAATAACCAAAGCAAAGCAATTCTCAGCAAAAAGAAAAAGAAAAAGAGAACAAGGCTGGAGGTCTCATATTACGGATTTCAAGCTATACTATAAGGCTACAGTAGCCAAAGTAGCATAGCACTGGTACAGACAGACATATAGACCAATGGAACACAATGGAAAGCCCAAAAATAAAGCCACACATCTGCAACCACCTAATATTCTAGTGTTGACAAAAACAAGCAATAGAGAAAGGACTCCCTGTTCAATAAAGGGTGCTGGGATAACTGGCTAACCATATGCAGAAGATTGAAAGTAGACCCTTTCTTTATACTGTATAAAAAATAATCTCAAGATGGATTAAATACTTAATTGTAAAACTTAAAACTATAAAACTGTTGAAGAAAACTGAAGAACTATCATTTGGAATGGGCAAAGATTTCATGACAAAGACACCAAAAGCAATTGTAAGAAAAACAAAAATTGAGGAATAGGACCTAATAAACTAAGAACTTCTGCAAAACAAAAGCAACTATAAATAGAGTAAACAGAAAACCTACAGAATTAAAAATAATTTAAAGTATGCATCAAACAAATATCTAATATCCAGAATCTATAAGCAACTTAACAATCAAAAAGCCGACAACTCCATTAAAACTGGGCCAAGAACGTCCACAGGCACTTTTCAGAGGAATATATGCTGAAGCCAACAAGAAGATGAAAAAATTATCAACATTACTAATCATCCAAGAAAAATGCAAATCAAACCTGCAATGAGATATCACATCAGACCAGTCAGAATGACTACTATTAAAAAGTCAAAAAATAACAGTTGCTGGTGAGGTTGCAGAGAAAAGGGAGTGCTTATACACTGTTAGTAGCAATATAAATTAGTTCAGTCACTGTGGAAAGCAGTTTGGCAATTTCCCAAAGAATATAAAACAGAGCTAGCATTCAATCCAGCAATTCCATTAACAGAATTTTACCCAAAAAAATGTGAATCATTCTACCACAGACACATGCACATCTATGTTCATTCCTCTGTCATACACAACAGCCAAGATATGGAATCACATTAAATGGCCATTGGTTGTAGACTGTATAAAGAAAATACAGTACATGTTCATCATGGAATACGATAAAGTCATAAAAACAGAATGAGTTCATGTCTTTTGCAGTGACATGAATGGAGCTAAAGGCCTTTATCCTGTGTGAATTAATGCAGGAACAGAAAACCAAATAGTGTATGCTCTCAGTTACAAGTGGGAGCTAAACATTGAGTACACATGGACATAAAGGAGGGAACAATAGACACACAGGATTACCTGAGGATGGAGGGTGGGAGGAGCTCGAGGATCAAAAAACAACCTATTGGGTACTACACTGATTACCTGGATTACAAAATAATCTGTACAACAAACACCTATGAAACACAATTTACCTACATAACAAACCTGCATATATACCCCTGAACCTAAAATGTAAGTATAAATAAATAAATAAATTTGTTATCTTGTGCTTTATGTCCCAGAGAAAGACACATTTTAAACTCTCCTTTTAATGTTAATAACTTTGTTGGGTTTTTTTTCTTGTTTTCTTTCTTTTCCAGTTTTCCCTTCTTTCGTTTTAGAATTTTTTCTCTTTATTTTATTCTTTGGTCTGTTCTTTCTGTTCTTTGTATTTATTTACTTATTTAGCAAACCTAACAAATAGTTGAATCAATCTCCAACTGCAAATTCTGTTTTCAGATATTTAAACATTTTAATAGTTATTTAAGTCTGTGAGGCTAAATGATGAACGTAATAAATGTTTTCATCAGCTAAGGATATCTGCTTCACTAGTTCAGTTCTTTTTTAATTTATTGGAGGCACTTGAGCAACATTGTAATTTCATTTCATTGTACTCTGAATTTTTTCTTCAAAATATTGATAATTTTCTTCAAGAAGTGGGTGAGCAAACATTTATACTAATGAAAGTGAATTCTATTATTTTGTTTTATATTTTATGACGTTTTATGAATTTCTTAATAATTTCCTAGGGTAAAAGGGAGTAAAATCATAAATACACATACTTTGTTCTTTACAAGCATTCAGCTATGTTTGTGCAGATATTTCCCCCATGTAATTATTGAGAGATTTAGCTTTTATCATGTCCATCAGTTTGTAGTTTTAGGAAATTTCACCAAATGTTGGTATAGCTATGATTGCATTCCTACATTGTTGTTTGGGGAGTCTGTTACCTTTCAGATTCGGGAACTTTTAGCTGGGTTTGCATCAGAATGTGTAAGGCAGATTTTTATGCCTAGGTATGGTTTCTCCAACAGAAATTGAATTATCTGGTGTGGTAAGAGAATAAGACAGCATAGTAGGCCCCTTTTCTGTCCCTCTACAATATCTGCAAACATGAATTCTCAATATGAGAGTAATTGTTGTTGTTTAGTACATTGTTAATCACTCCTTAGACTGTGTACATCAGGATAAAAGTTAATTTAGTTATTACTCATTTTAGAGTTGATGTGTCTAAGGCAAAACTAAATGAGTTTTATATTTTGCACCTTTACCAATAAAATTTTAAATACATTTTAAATATATATAAATAAATATTATTTATATATGTATTTCATTAAATGGTGTTAGATTATTCACAGTGAAAATCACTTCATCAGTTCCACCTGAAATTCCTTTACCTGTCTAAAACAGTAATAATTTAACTTTTGTTTGTTTCTGCAAGAAGTTCTAGATGAGTAGCATAATGTACTGTGGTGGAGACATGAATTAATCTGGCTGAACTTGTGTCTAATATATATGTCTACTACAAAATTCAATTTCTCACTTCCTGGTAATCTAGGAGGAAAATGAGTTATTTGCAAGTGTGTACTATATATTTTATCAAATGATATTATTTTCTATGATACAAAAGTTAATCTTAATTAGGCTTACTCAGTGTCAAGTGCAGATTTTGAGGAAAGGAATATTCCTTCAACACTATTAGAAATGTTTTTATCAATGAACAAAATCTTCAAGAAGTGCAGCTAATGAATCAGGTAAAATGTAACACTAAGCAACGAATAAGCAGGACCTGCTGATCTAGGAACACAATGAAAAGGAAATAAAAATGTAA